ACTGCCTTCTCCAAATTCTGCCGCCGATAAATGGATTACTTGCTTCTGATATAACTAGAACAAAGAAGTTAAAAGTCCTATACCCCATTTCTTTGTTATTGATGTACATTTTGTGACTACAAATGTACTGAGTTTCTTGAGCTGGAAGTCATTCAGTTTGCAGTTTCATTATGTAAGAGTTATCGTTATATACCTTGCAGTGTAAAAGTTTTTATTCTATTTGTGTAATGTTGCAGTATCAGCTTTGTAATTCTCTAGTCGTTGTAGCAGGTTTTGCTACTTTATTTTCAAGCATATCATACATATCTGTTTCAAACAGTTACATTGCAGTTAACTTAACGCAATGGCACAAGAATATTATACACTTTCAGAACACAGAAGAGGTTGTTGAATCCTCGCAGGTCGGAGAATGTAAAGGGGATCACCATAGTGACAATGGCTCCTCCGTAGAAAGGCCCCCGCGTTGTTTCAGGTTCAAAACTGGTGATACAGAAAATGAATGGGAGAAGGTTAATAGTATAGCTTCAATTTCTACAGGTCAAGTCATCAATATTTGGTGGACCTGAAAATGATGAAAAGTTGCTGTTATATTACTGAGTCAAGAAGTCAAGTCTTTCTACTGGAGTCAATTGCTAGAAAAGCTAATGTGAACATTTCCTTTTTTTTTCTTCACCTTTGTTTACTTAATACACATCTGAACCTTCTTATACGTTTGTGTTACACATTTTTCTTTTTTAACAAACATTATCGATAAACTTAAGGCTAGTAATCGAGAAACTGTTCAGGTCTTATAAGATATAGACTTCTAGAGTCACAATTCACAAAGCTTCAGTTAGCGCGTTTTCTTCTTAATTGCAGTTAGATTCAATATGGATCTTGCTTCTTCTTTATTTTGCTTCCTTCTATCTGTTTTTATGATGTTAGTTCAGGCAAATGGAAGAAATGATTCGACTTGTCCAAAGTCGTTTTCATGTGGAAATTTTACTGACCTGAGATTTCCTCTCTCTCTTTCCACACAACCTGAATGTGGAATAATGTTCTTATCTGGTTGTGATGCTAAACCGTATCCGAGAATCCGACTTCTTCCTGAGGGAGATTGGTACTATGCTTTAGAGATGCATAATTCATCAGTTTGGCTTGGGGACACGAAGCTTCAAACAACGTTGACGAAACACAAGTGCCAGGCTTTTAACAAAAATTTCTCCCTTCCATACTCTCCTTTTATGTCTTTCCATATGATTAATATAATAAGCTTCTACAAATGCATCAGTACCAGTAATAATACCCGTAACATTACGCAGAAGGAGAACGATCATTTTTCTGGTTATAATATGTACAATGGCTGTGAAGGCTTTAGCATATACTACAACCTTTCCCGACATGATGATGAATACATAGGAGCAGACAATCTTCCTACCAACTGTTCACTTATCAGATTGCCAATTCAGGCAACTCATGGTGATTTGTTCGACGTGTTGGGTCCTGAAATTCTAGTAGAATGGAAGTTATCCGAGGAATGTAACAAATGTCATTATGGTGGAGGTGAATGCCAGGCTAATAAAACCAACAAATTTTCTTGTCACAAAGGTAGACATCTCCAAAATAATCTATATTTTCTAGGTCAAGTTCATGCTTCTGTTTCAAGCCGTGTAAATGATATATTTCGAATTATTGCCTCCTCCTGTAGATGCAAAAACACCTACAGGTAGTATCGATCAAAGAAAAGAAACAACCGAAAGAAATGGAAGAAATATGGTGGGGCCGATTCTGGGAACAGGTAGTAAAATATGTTTAATTGCTGTAATGTATTCTTATTACAGAATATTCATGCATATCATTTAAAATTTCGTCATTTTGGATAAACTGAAATCCTTTCTCTAGCAATAAAGAAACACAAAATGTACGAATGTGGAGTTAAGGGAGAATTCCTCGTATGTAGGAGGAGCTACTGCCTTCCTTCTAATCGGTTCGAAGAGAAAAGGAAACGATGCTATTTCTTTTTGCTTTTCCAAAGACATTGACTTACTAGCTTCTCTTCCAGTCTTTGGCGGAGTAGGATCGGTGATGATAACTTCTTCAGCTGTATACTTTATCTGGCGTTACAAGAAGAGGAGATTTAGTTCATCCCGCTTCTTCTCAACAAGGAAATTATCAGATATCTTTAACCATGATGTTGAGGGAGGCAGTATATACTTTGGTATCCCAGTTTTCTCTTATTCAGAACTTGAAGAGGCCACCGATGATTTCAATTCCTCTAGAGTACTTGGAGATGGAGGTTTTGGAACTGTTTACTATGGTGAGAAACTTCTGAATATGGATATGCATCAACTGTTTCTTCTTGTGGCTAATACTTTTTCATTGATGAACAGGAAAACTTAAAGATGAACGGGAGATTGCTGTAAAGCGCCTCTACGAGCACAACTGCAAGCGAATGGAGCAGTTTGTAAACGAAGTTGATATCCTTACTAGACTAAGGCACAACAATCTTGTCACCCTCTATGGATGCACTTCAAGGCGAAGCCGTGAACTACTCCTTGTCTATGAATATATTCCTAATGGCACTCTTGCTGATCACCTTCATGGTAACAGAGCGAAGGGCGGATTACTTACCTGGCCAATCCGCATGAACATTGCCATAGAAACTGCTGGTGCATTGGCTTACCTGCATGCTTCTGATGTAATACACTGTGATGTCAAGACTAATAACATACTCCTTGACCACAACTTTAGTGTTAAAGTTGCAGATTTTGGGATTTCAAGGCTCTTCCCAAACGACGTCTCTCATATTTCAACCACACCCCGGGGTACCCCTGGCTATATTGATCCAAAGTATCATGAATGTTACCAGCTGACTAGTAAAAGCGATGTCTATAGCTTCGGGGTGGTCCTTGTTGAACTCATTTCATCAATGCCGGCTGTGGATATGAACAGACATAGCCAAGAGATCAATTTGGCTAACTATGCAATAAACAAGATTGTAAAATCTGCTGTTAACAAGCTGATTGATCCATCCCTGGGGTACGATTCAGATACCAAAACTCGGGAAATGACTACTTCAGTAGCAGAGCTGGCTTTTCTGTGCTTGCAGACAGATAGGAACGTGAGGCCTACTATGGTTGAAGTTTTGGATACTCTAAAGGAGATTCAGACTAATCTCAATGCCAATGAAGCTAAAATAGTAGTTGCTCCTCCTTTCCCTGAATCAAAAGATATTGTTTTGTTGAAGAAAGTTAAATCACTGCCTTCTTCAAATTCTGTGACTGATGAATGGAATACTTGCTCTGATAGAACTTGTACACAGTAGTTAAGATTTCTGTAATCCGTTTCTTTGTCACTTTTATGTATATTTTGGGAGACTGCAAAATGTACTACTGTGAGAAGTTTCTTGAGCTATGTACTATGAGTGTAAGTGATGCAATTTTTAATTTCTATAAAAGTTTAAGTTGTATACACTGCCAGTTTTAAGAAATTTTTAATCGAGAACTTATGGAGTTATTAATGAGGACCGTATTAGAAATCTGTGTAAGTACAAGTGCACTATTCACCATACATTTGATGTATCTGCAAACCATTTAACTTTCAGACAACTGTGCTTTTTATTCTACAGTTGAAGTCTTCATTTCCGGAGATGTTGGTCCTGATAAATGACGAGAAATCTCCGTTAGTACTCAGAGTCAACAAGTTAAAGTCTTTCTACTGGTGTTGATGGCTAGAAAAGGTAATGTGAAGATTTCCTATTCTTCTTCACTTATCTTTTTCCCAATAAGTCTGACCCCTCTTATACGTTAGGTTGTTTACGAGAAGGTACTATGGAAATTTCCTTTTTACTTTGCCTTTCTTTTTCTCAATAAGTCTGACACTTCGTATACGTTTGGTTGTACATAGAGTTTCTTTTTTACAAATATATATGAATAAGATAACGACTAGTAATGGAACTTGATCCTATAAGATAGTCTGTTTAGCTAGAGTTGCAATTCACAAATCTTCAGCTCTTTACCTCTTCTTGCAGTATCGATTCAATATGTCTTTAGCTTCTTCTTTTGTTTGCTTTATTCTATCTCTTCTCCTGATTTTAGTTCAGGCAAAGGGGAGAAATGATTCAACTTGTCCAAAGTTCTTTTCATGTGGAAATCTTACTAACTTGAGTGTTATTTGTAGTTTTGATGATTTGACAAACCTGGAGACCTTGTAAAGGTACTAGTTTCTTAATTGTCTGTTGCAGGGTTCTTGCTTGAGTATTGTAGATGAAACAAACTCAGGGACCTAGTAGAGGTACCGGACTCTCATGATGAGGAGCCAGTTGATTGCCAGCTGGAGACGGTACAGAAAGTAGGTGCACACTTCCCGATGGCGTCAGAAAGTGTGACTTTTCCAGCCAATGGCAAAGAAGTTTAGGAAAGTGACTTGCTCATATAAAACACACTTTCCTAAACATTTTTGTTTAGTTTTTGCAACTTGATAAAAACTTTTCAAGAACTCTTGCAAAGGCTACTACAAAGCAAAGGCAGAATTATTCCAAGAACAACAGCAATATCTGGAGCTTTTCGTCTAGTTGTTTGGGAATATATTCTCTTGTTCTTAAACTGTAAACCATTCCTGAATCTATAAAGGAATTGGTGTGTTGTGTTAAAAGTCTAGGTTGTCCAGGTGGGATAGCTTAGTGGGTAGATTGTTTTCTACTTAGGCTTGTTAAGCAATAGAGGACTATTGCTTAACTGTAAGATTGATAACTCTTTCTTACGTTTGGTGTAATCGTGTTTTACTTTTGCTTTTGAAGATTAGTGAAAACGATTGAAAATCCTGTGAGACAGGTCGTGGTTTTACTCTCTTAAGCAAGGAGATTTCCACGTAAAATCATTGTGTTGATTTTACTGCATTTAACTTTCTGGTATTTTTCTGGAGTGTAGTAAGGGACCTGGTCCATTACTTGTTAAGTGAAGGCATATATTCTATCATTGAGCTTTCCTTTCACTCTTCTAACACGACCTGACTGTGGAATAATGTCCATTTCTGGTTGTGATGTTAAACAATATCCAAGAATCCAGTTGCTTCCTGGAGGAGATTGGTATGATGCTATAAGCGTGCCGTTTAATTATACAGTTTTGATCGTGGACCTGAAGCTTCAAACTATATTGAGGAAAAACAAGTGCCAGGCTTTTAACGAAAATATCTTCCTTCCAGATTCTCTTTCTATATCTTTCAATATTCTCCAAATCTTTATGAGTCATTTTTACAGATGCAACAGTGCTAGTAGTACCCGGAAGAACAACGAGCATTTTTCTGGTTATAAAATGTACAATGGTTGTAAAGGCTTTAACATGTACTACAATCTTCCGGGAGATGATGATGAAGTCCTTCCAGCAGGCAATCTTACTATCAACTGTTCACTTCTCCAATTGCCAATACACCCAACAGAAGATGACAGCTTTTTTACTTCCGGAATTCTAGTAGAATGGAAACTCTCTGATGACTGTAACAAATGTCACTATGATAACTTGTTTAGCTGTCTCCTTTATCTGGTGTTACAAGGAGAGGAAATATAGTCCATTCCGCTACCTCTCAGCAAAGAAATTCTCGGGTTATATTTAAACATGATGTTGAAGGAGGGAGCATATACTCTGGTGTCCTAGTCTTCTCTTATTCAGAGCTTGAAAAAGCCACAAATGATTTCAGTTCCTCTAGAGTACTTGGACATGGAGGTTTTGGAACTGTTTACTATGGTGAGGAACTTCCTAATACTACTGAGCTATGCTTCAACTGCTTCTTCACGTACCTAATTCTTGTTCATCAATGATCAGGAAAGCTTAAGGATGGAGGAGAGGTTGCTGTGAAGCGTCTTTACGAGCACAACTGCAAACGAATGCAACAGTTTGTAAATGAAATTGATATCCTTACTAGGCTAAGGCACAACAATCTTGTCACCCTCTATGGTTTCACTTCAAGGCGAAGCCGTGAACTACTCCTTGTCTATGAATACATTCCTAATGGAACTCTTGCTGATCACCTTCATGGTGACAGAGTGAAGGACGGATCACTTACCTGGCCGGTCCGCTTGAAAATTGCCATAGAAACTGCTGGTGCATTGGCTTACCTTCATGCTTCTGACATAATACACTGTGATGTCAAGACTAATAACATACTCCTTGATCAGAATTTCAGTGTTAAAGTTGCAGATTTTGGGATATCACAGCTCTTCTCAAATGATGTTTCTCATATTTCAACTGCAGCTCGGGGGACCCCTGGTTATATCGATCCAAAGTATCAAGAATGTTACCAGCTGACTAGTAAAAGTGATGTCTATAGCTTCGGGGTGGTCCTTGTTGAGCTCATTTCATCAATGCCATCTGTGGATATGAACAGGCATAGCCAAGAAATTAATTTGGCTAACTTTGCTATAAACAAGATCGCAACATGTGCATTTCACGAGTTGATCGATCCATCCCTGGGGTTCAATTCAGATACCAAGATTAGGGAAATGACAACCTCAGTAGCAGAGCTGGCTTTCCTGTGCTTGCAGACTGATAGGGACATAAGGCCTACTATGGTTAAAGTTTTGGATACTCTAAAGGAGATTCAGACAATTTGACAATGAGACGAAACTATCTCCTTTCCTAAAAACAGAAGATCAGTTATTTCTGAAACAAGTCAAATCACTACCTTCACCAAATTCTGCGACTGGTAAATGGATTACTTGCTCTAGTATTACTAGTACAAAGTAGTTTCACCCCCTTCCTTTGTTATTGATGTAGATATTGAGAGAATGTGAATGTACTACTCTGAGATGTTTCTTGAGCAATGTATCTACGAGTGAAAGTGATTCAATTTTTAGTTTCATTATATAAGAGCTGTTATATACACTGGAAGGTTGGAAAATATAAAGCAGTGGCTCCGTCCAAAGACACATTTTCTTTTCTTTTTGGGATCAAAAGCTGGTGTAACAGAAAATGATGGGAGAAGTTTGACAAAAAAGAATAAGGATTGAGGGGACAGCGTTAGAAATTTATGCAAGTACGAGTGTCAATTTGAGTATTTAGTCATAGTGATATGCACTATCGTTTCAATGTTAGTCATGGAATAGAGGGGCCAGTGTTCCATATTCTAGGATATCGATTTCTGATTTGTTTCTTTTTCAAAATTATGAAGATGATGGCTTGGAGCATCGCAAGTATATCTATCTTACACCATATATACTCTGCTATACTTGAAAAAATTTCTTGGTAATTGCTAGTGAGAAAATGAGCAAATGGAAGACTGGATTTGTAAACCATAACGAGGAGATGTAAAAAGCTATCTGATAAGTATGCGGTGTTCTTTTTACATTATCAAACTATCTATAGTTGTGTTTTGGGGTGTGACTAGAATCTTTTCCTTTTCATATTTCTACAGGTTAGGTCAACCATTTTTGAAGACTTCAGTCCTGAAACTGATAAGAAGTTGCCTGGTATATTGCAGAGTCAAGAAGTCAAGTCTTTACTGATGTGAAAGTTTTCATTTTTTCTAAGCCTTGTCTTTATTTCCTCAATAAGTCTGATTATGTTTGGTTCCACCTAGTATGTATTTTTGACAAGTTTTACCCGTAAGATGAAGACTTAATATAGAGAGAGTGTTAAGAAGTTATGGCACTTCATCTTATAAGATACAAAGTCTGGTGAGCTAGAGAGTTGCAATTCTCAGAACTTTCAGATAGCTTTGATCTTTCTTGTAGTAGGATACGCAGTATGTCTTTGGCTTCTTCGTCTATTGGCGTTATTCTATCTCTTCTTCTGATGTTAGTTCAGGCAAAGGGGAGAAATGATTCAACTTGTCCAAAGTCCTTTTCATGTGGAGAGCTTACTGACCTGAGCTTTCCTTTCTCTCTATCCACACAACCCGACTGCGGAATAGTTCCCATCTCTCATTGTGATGCTAAACCATATCCAAGAATCCAACTGGTTCCTGGAGGACAATGGTACTATGCTATGGGAAAGGAGTATACTTATACTATTTTACTTGTGGACCTGAGGCTTCGAACCACATTGACGCAACACAAGTGCCAGGCTTTTAATGAAAATATCTCCCTTTCAGGCTCTCCTTCTATTTCTTACACTGCAGTTGACCTTCAGAACTTCTACAAATGCAACAGGCCTAGTAGTAACAACAAAGATCATTTTGATGGTTATCACTCGTACAATGGCTGTGATGGATTCACCATATACTACAAGTTCGATGGAGTTGATGCCGAAGACATTCTAGCAGGCAATCATACTGCCAACTGTTCACTTATCAGATTGCCATATTACCAAATAGAACCTGGTGATGATAATTTGGTCAACTTCTTAAGTTCTGTATTTCTAGTAGAATGGAAATTGTCTGATGACTGTAACGAATGTTACTATGGTGGAGGTCGATGCCAGACTGATAAGAAGAACAATTTTCTTTGTTACAAAGGTAGACATCTCAAAATGATCTACATGTTCAAGGTTAAATCCTTTTTTATTTCATGTCACATCTGATAATTTTCCCTCTTGTTTATTGATGCAAAAGCTAACAGAAGCAAGTTGGGACTGATTCTTGGAACAGGTAGTTAAATACTTAAATATCCACAATGTCAAACTAGTATTGAGAGATTGCGATGTTTAGCTGTTTTCTTTCATTTGATAACCTTCGATTTTTTATTTCTCTCCAGTTTTTGGTGGAGTATTGGTGATGATAACTTGTTTAGCTGTCTACTTAATCTGGTGTTACAAGAGGAGGAAATCTAATCCACCCCACTTCCTCTCAACAAGAAAATTGTCCTATGTATTTAAAAATGATGTTGAGGGAGGCAGTATATACTTTGGCATCCCAGTCTTTTCTTATTCCGAACTTGAAGAAGCCACGAATGATTTCAAATCCTCTCGAGTCCTTGGAGATGGAGGTTTCGGAACTGTTTACTATGGTGAGAGACTTCCTAATCCAACTGAGCTATCTTTAAATCTTTCTTCATGTGCCTAATTCTTGTTCATTAATGACTAGGAAAACTTAAGGATGGACGAGAGGTTGCTGTGAAGCGCCTTTACGAGCACAACTGCAAACAAATGCAGCAGTTTGTAAATGAAATTGAGATCCTTACTAGGCTAAGGCACAACAATCTTGTTACCCTCTATGGTTGCACTTCAAGGCGTAGCTGTGAACTACTCCTTGTCTATGAATACATTCCTAATGGAACTCTAGCTGATCACCTTCACGGTGATAGAGCGAAGAACAGATCACTCACCTGGCCAGTCCGCTTGAACATTGCCATAGAAACTGCTGGCGCATTGGCTTACCTTCATGCTTCTGACATAATACACTGTGATGTCAAGACTAATAACATACTCCTTGATCAGAATTTCAATGTCAAAGTTGCAGATTTCGGGATATCACGTCTCTTCCCAAATGATGTCTCTTATATCTCAACTGCACCCCGGGGTACCCCTGGCTATATCGATCCAAAGTATCACGAATGTTACCAGCTGACCATAAAAAGTGATGTTTATAGCTTCGGGGTAGTCCTTGTTGAACTCATTTCATCAATGCCAGCTGTGGACATGAAGAGGCATAGTCAAGAGATTAATTTAGCTAACTTTGCTATAAACAAGATTGTGGAATGTTCATTCAACGAGTTGATCGATCCATCCCTGGGGTTCGATTCAGATACCAATATTTGGGAAATGACTAGTTCAGTAGCAGAGTTGGCTTTTCTATGCTTACAGACAGATAGGGACATGAGGCCTACTATGGTTGAAGTTTTGGATACTCTAAAAGAGATTCAGACTAGTGAATTTGATAATGAGAAGAGAGCTAAGTTATTGCTGAATCAAGTTAAATCACAACCTTCACCAAATTCTGATAAATGGATTACTTGCTCTAGTACTACAGCTAATACCAAGTAGTAGCAATGTTGTTGCTACTGTGACAAGTTTCTTGCTATATTGTAGCTCCGACTCTTCGAAAATATTCTCTCGTGTATTGGATACTCCAAAAGTACTGAATTTTGAAGAATCCAACATAGATGCGACAACAGTTTTGAAGAGTCCGAGCGTGATAAGTTTCATGAACTATGTATCTTAGTAAATCTACAGTTACTCTTTTACCCCCTCTCCCCCCCCCCCCCACCCCCACACACACACCTTTTTTAAAAAAAATTATGATGGTTTTTATATCTATGAGTGGAAGTGATTCAATTACACTTTCGGTCCATTCATTTTTTATCGTTAGCAAATCGTCTCATGTTTGTCCTTCCACCGTAAAATAAGTGGACTTCACGTGTTTAAATTCTTTGAGAAAAAGCTCAAGTTATAGCTCCATTAGGATTAAGGGTAAAATTGACTTTTCCTTAACTCCAACTTTAAATGGATGGACCTCTATATTCCATGTTCTAGTTCTAGCCAATAGTTGACCTGCCAAATAAAAAAGGCAAAAACAAAAAAAAGAAAAAGAATATTCCATTTCAATATTAATTTATTTTATCAAAATTAAACAAATATATCTTGCCTTTGCTTTTATTTAAGGGAAAAGGATCTAATATACCCATCAACTTTGTCATTTGGTGCTGATATACCCCTCGTTATAAAAGTGGCTCATATATGCCCTTACCGTTATACAAACGGCTCACATATACCTCTGCCGTTACAAAATGACTCACATATACCCTTCATTTAACGTATTTTAAAAAATTAATTTTAAATTTATATTTATTACTTCTAATTTTTCTAAAAAAATTATTTAGGGGTATATATGATTCTTCTATCAAAGTTCAAGGTATATTTTAATTTTTTTGATACATAAATTATTTTTTGACTTCTTTTATTATAATTAGAATAAAAAATTAAACTATTTTTTTGTGTGTGTATTGTAATTTAATTTCGTATTCGAAGAAAAATTTTGATCATCTACAATAAGTTTTACAAGAATATTAGTGAAACATAAATAAATTTGATTATCAAAATAATAATTATAAATTAGTCATTGAAACAAAAAAAAGTCAAAAAAAATATGTTTGACGAGGATTAAATTTACTCATATGGGATTATATTTTTTAGAAAAAAATAATAAAAATTTAGATTAAAATTATTTTTTTTTTCATTTCCGTTGAGAAAAAAGGTATATGTGAACCATTTGTTTACAAGTAGGGGTATATATGAACCACTTTCATAACAAGGGATATATCAGCTCTAAATGACAAAGTTGAGAAGTATCAGACCCTTTTCCCTTTATTTAATTGTTTAGTCTTGAGAGATCACATTCAAAGAAGTTTGCTCTCAATTTACGTTATATATTTTTTCTATTAATCTATCTAAAAAATATCGTCTTAGTATAATCGTACATAACTCAAATTTAAAATTACCTTTCCACCCTTAATAAAATGAGTATAAAGCTTGTTTTAAGCCACAAATTATAAAACTTCACTTTTTTGATTTTCCTCAAGTTTTACGTTGAGTCAAACTACGTCAAATAAATTAGTCCGACTTAATATTTTTAAGCAAAATGCATTTTAATATAATTAGCTGTCACCACTTGTTGTCAGAAAAGTACAATGGAGTAGAAACCCAGGCATAGACTAATTCAAATGCATTTTTTTTCTAAATTAATTATTAAATATATGATTGTTGTTTTAATAGTCAAATTATATTGTAAGTCTTTTAATTCGGCTAAAGTCACAGTCAATGAAAAGTTGGTAAGCAAAATTACTAAAAAAAAATTCATTTCATATTTCCACTTGCAAATTTAATGGTCCCTAATTTTTGCTTTTTTATAATCTTTAGTGCTTGTTAATTGAATTATTCGTAAAAGATAAGATAACAAAGTCTTGAAAATAACAATAATAGTCCCTTATGTTTAAAAGTAGGTTCAAAATAGTCCCTTAATTTTTGTCTTTTTAAATCTTCCTAAAAACAAGCACCTTTTAGTTTCGTTCAAATGTTTAACAAACTCTATATGTTCGGTTGTATAAGAGTTGTTAAACAAGAACTCAGATTATCAGTGCAACAGTTTTTGAGATTCGATGGGATTTTTCCGATATTTCCGGTTAAATCTTTCTTTTTTCTCATGGTTTTCGTTACATCTAACTAGTAGAGTTTGCTAAATATTTAGTGGAGTACTAAACACGTATAGCTAAATGTCTGGCGGAGGACTAAAAGTGTCTAATTTGACAAACTTAAAGGACTAAAAGTTTCTTAGAAGATACTTAAGGGACCAAATTGAAGATACCCCTAAACATAAGGGACCATTTTTGTAATTTTTTAAAGAAAGTCCAAACTATAGTATAAAATGGGATTGAGGGTGAACTAGTGTACAATTTTTTTTTGGTAATACTAATAATTTGTCTTATAATAACTTTTTCTACTTATGTATTGTTATATACTTAGTTGAAGTT